ATGAGGCTAAGTGACCAGGCCCCAGATCACACAGCTAGGAAGTAGGTAGAGAAAACAAAATTCAAACCCAGGGCACTTCTTACTCATGGATTATTTCCCTCACACCCTTAGCTGGCCTCTTGAAGCCTGCCTGCAGATCTAGTTCAAGAGTAAACTCCTGCAAACTAGTAGCTAATGAACATGTACCCTGTAGAGACCTCAGAGCATCTTTACTCTTACTTGCAAAGGAAAATCTAACTCTGAAAGTGAAAAGTAGTAATAGAAATTTAGAGCAGGTAGGGCTCCCTGGAGACATCTGTTTGAGTCCTGTAGTATCCTGGGTGCAGTCACCTGCCCAGATTCAAATCTGCAGCCTGTAAGCCCATTGATTGAGCTCACATTTATTAGGGGGCTTGCCAAGTCTGAACCTTGCACTGCCTGCTGACCCAGGGATGCGAAGGTTCAATTTGTTCCCGTGATCAGGTAGCAAAATAAAGGGCTGAGACCCAAGAAGAACTGTAATGCCCAATGTCATGTAAGTCTGGTAGGCAATTGTAGGAGAAAATATTGTGGTAGGTTGGTGTTTGGGGAGGTGAGGTTCAAATAGCTGAGGGAATGGGGGTTCAGGGAATACATATGTGGATGGATCAATGAAGAGATGGACAGATGTGCTAAGCACTTTACAAATATTATCTCATTTAAATGAATGAAAAGGAATTTATTAAGCCCTTTCTCCATGCCAGGCATTATTCTAAGAACCTAGGTGCAGGAAGGAGAGAGACAGGTTGTCCTGAGCTTTATAGAAGGAGCTGGATGGTGGGCTTGCTTCAATATAAGTGACCCGTTAGAATGAGGGCTGTTTTAGAAACTGGGAGAAGGTGATTTGATCAGGGAGATGCTGCGTTAGTAATTTGGTTACCAAGGTAACCATAACCACACTGGAAGCAGAGTCCTGGAGGGCACAAGAGAGCCTCAGCATGAGTGGCTCCCTTCCCACCCCAAAAAAAAATAATAATTTTTTTTTTTTTGCATTACTGACCCTCATTGCTTACAGCTAATTTGGCACCTTGGAAATCTCCCAAGAAAATGGGAAACCATGATCAGGGTATCTTCTTTGCTGGCCTGAAATAATCACCTCTAACAATATTAATGCTTCTCTCTGAAATTTTCAATAGGAAAGTGAGGGCTGTGATGCCAGAGGAGAAGGGATTAATGATCAGAAGAAGACTAAACCTAGGCTAGAACTAAGCAGTAGCTGAACATCAGTGCAATCAGAGAAGGAAGGCACAAATCCCCTTTTAAATTTTGCTTCAGACAAGAGTTTTTCCTAATGTTAGTATATAAGTCCAGTTGGATCAGTATTGCAATTTTCAGTAGTTAATTTTTATAGAAGAAACACTGGCTAGGATATAAGAGGGCTGTTTTCAGACATCAGTTACTTACTTTCTGAGTAAGTCTATATGTTGGACCTCTGTCACCAGCCACCTGGTGGCATTGAGTCATGGTGCTGACATGGTGCCTAGAAGAAGCCACCATTGTCTGGGTCGCTTACCTTGTACAGTCAGCCCCATTGCAGTATGATTGCAAACATTCTTTACGCTCCCAGCAAAGCAGCCTGGCCTCCTCGCATGAAGGCCAGTATTGACACTGACGCATTGTATATGTTAGTGGCACGAGACACACACACACACACACACACACACACACACACACACACACACACACATCCTCTGCCTCTTCTCTTTTTATTGACCTTGGTCATCCTCACAAAACACACGGCTCATGTTGTTGTCCCACCAAATTTCTAACATTCATCTAATTTGTCGTATTTTGTGAACTGTTCTCCTACCATCGTTTCAGTTTTTGAAGATGTCTTCCCTGAAAATAGTTTCTTCTGCCAGTTAGCTTGAGTAGTGATTTTTCAAGTACCATGATTTATTTTATCCTAGGCTTTCTAATAAGCTAATTCTCCAGGCCTCTAATTAATTAGCTCTCTTAAAATCCTCCCCAATTTAGTCCTATGTTCATTTTTTCAAAAATTGAATGACTGCATAATAGATTTCTTTGATTGTTTTCCCCATTCTTGACTAAATGCAGGGTTTGATTGCAGTTCTGATCATTATTCCACAGTGGTTCTCTCACAGATGCTAGACTTCTCTTTCATGGAGTAACGCTCCCATCTTGTGGACCTTGGGAATATTGTTCCCAAAGTGGGTTAAGAGGACGGTATGGTCTCTTCAACAGGTATCTCTTAGATTTGTTTTATTGGAGCACAACCACTGGATTGTCTGAGAATTTTAGGAGATTTATGGTCAACTGGTTGAAATTAAGCTGAGACCTGAGCCAAGCCCAGGGGCCATAGGTTTCCCACTCCTCTAAAAAGGTTTCAAATGACATTTGTAGGCAAGGCTTCTTTTAAGTTTGGTGTCTGTGCCGTGGATGACCTATCTCCCCCCTTGGCAGTCTGGTGATGCCTGAGGACGCCCTCTCCCCAGAATCATGTTTTTAAATGTGTAACATACAAGAGTAAAGGAAACCAATTATGTCGAAATATAATAGCAAAATATTTAGAAAACAAATTCTGGAAACCTGAGTTAAGAACCTCCATTTTAAAGAATACCAATGATTTTTAACCATTTAATCAACTTACTGTGTGTTAGATTCTGTGCTAAGCAGGATACAAATTAAAAACAAAAGACAATCCTTGCAAAAACATTCAACTGGAAAGCCCACTTGTACAGAAATAGGCATATGCAGGACATACATCAGGTGGGTGGAAGGTGCTGATGCCGGGTGGACTCCTGCAGAGGGTGCCATTTGAGCTGAGTCTGGAAGGGACCCAGGGATTCTGAAAGGCAGAGGGGAGGAAGGAGAACATCGAAGGCTCAGGGGTCGGCTAGGGCAAAAGTGCCTAGATGGGTGAAGTGATTGTAATAGGTAATGGGCATTTTTTTACTCTTCGTATATCAGATTAAGTCTGTGTTCCCATGCATTTGTCTAACTTAACGGGACTTGAAGTTTTGAGCTTTCTGGCTTAGCTTTATTTTGAGGTGGTCTGACCCAGAAGCATTAAATAAGCAGCAAAAGCATTATTGGGGTCTTAATGAGGGTAGTTGCCGGCTGCTTAGATACGAGCAGGAATAGAAGAAGGTATCAGAGCAGCTCCGCCTCCTCACCTGCAGACTCTCTCCTTTTAGCTTAGCTGCCTCTGGCTTGTATGCAGCACGCCAAAGCCATCCTTGTGTCTTCCTTCCTTTGGTGATGAGAGATAAACTTACACAGATGATGGTGCTTGGGAGGAAGTCAGATCACTGGGTGTGACTACGTGGGGATCCATGGTTCTCTAGTCACAAGCTACTTTGGTTCTGTGCCTAACAATGCTTTTTCCAAATAGTCTTTGATTTAAGCATCCTTTTTAAGAAAGAAAGATGCTGATTCATTGACTGAGCCTTCCCCCTCCTTGTGGAACAGCACAGGCAAAATCTGCATTCTAGAAGCTGCTGATGGTTTTGTTGTTGGGTACTGTGTTCCTTTGACTGAAGAGGCAGTGGATAGAAGCCTGGCCTTGGAGTCAGGAAGGCGAGTTCAAGGTCTGACAGACACATATTGGCTTGTGACCGTACAGCAGGTCATTTCACCTCTCTGCCCTTGGCAACTCTCCAAGATGCTAATAACAGCTAGCATTTATATTGGGCTTTAAGGTTTATACATAGTTTATTTATTTGATCCTTGCAACAACCCTAGGAGGTGGGTGCAATTAGGATCCTCATTTTACAAATGAGGAAATTGAGGCAGACTTGCCTTAAGTGACTTGCCCAGGATCACACAGCTAATTGTTATATGTCAGTTAGAACTTGAACACATGTCTTCCTGGCTCCAAAACCAGACCATCTATCTTCTGCACCATCTCCTGGAAGAGTCACCAGTCAGAACTGGATAAAAGGAAATTTCTAGGCGGAGAGTTCCCTACTCCCAATGAAATAACTGGTCCAGGACCCATATGCAATCTCCCTCCCTCTCCCCCCAGTGCCTTTGTTTTGTTGTGGTGGTTTTGTGCCATTCTTGCTGAAGATTGAATTTGCCAGTGGGGAGACAACATTTAAATAAATAGGTGATTCTGGTCAATAAAGGCATGTGACTCAGGGTTCTGGGTGTGAAGGGGGAGGGGAGCAAGCAGAAGTTTTTTGATTTAAGTGAGTGTAGGCCCTTAGGGTGTTGACTTGGCAGACTCCATACTCATTCCCCACTTCTGCCCTTGTTTGAAAACATTTGGGGGCATTTCTCTTTTGAGGTTCCTTCCGAAGCCTGAGTAGCTTCTGAACTGTCTCGAAGGCAGTCCTAGGATGATCCCAGTGCCCTGGGAGGACGTACTCCAGCCTTTCCAGGTGATGGCTTTGAATGACTGCTTATTTAGATGTGCACATCCTCGTATGTTTGTTTGTTAAAAATCAGTCACCTCACTGTGTAGTCATGTCTTCTCTTTGAATGTCTGCTAACATTTAAGTTCAGTCAGGAGCCCAGCAAAATGACCAGCTTAGATGAAAGAGATAGTTTCAGAGGAACTTAAGAAGATTTGTATGAACTGGTGCATAGTGAAGTGAGCAAAACCAGGAGAACCTTTTATACTACCAAATTGTAGAAACAATTTTGAAAGATTTAGGAACTCTGATGAATGCAATGACCAGCCACAATTCCAGGGTGCTGAAGCAGGCTCTCCACCTCCTCAGAGAGCTAGACTCCAGTTGCAGAATGAGACACATTTTCCAACACCTCCAATGTGGGAATTTATTATGCTTGATTATACATATTTGTCACTACAAGGGTTCCCCTCAGGAGAGGTGAGAGGGAGAAAAATAATCTTGATAATTGAAAAAAAAAAGTTTTCATTAATAAAATTAACACCTTAGCTTTGGGTCAACAAGATGAAGTTGACCTGTATGGTGAGATACAGGTTCCTTGCATTGTATGGGTTTTTAGGAGCAACTCTCCCCTCACCTTTTGCCTTTTGTTTTTGTTTTCAGAATGTGTTCCACATGGTTGTGGAAGTACCTCGATGGACAAATGCGAAGATGGAGGTAATTGCTCTCTTTTGGTAGGACGGCCAATGGCATTTTTTGTCCAGAGGCATCACCAGACTCAGTGAAATCCCACTTCCTTTGGCATTTCCAACTGGCTTCAGCAATCCTTTCCAGCCTGCCCTGCGTGCACTTGTATACACGAGCCAATGGTGGGATGCTGGTCCTGGGCTTGGCAGGACCAAGGGGCCCGTGGGCTTTGCAGCTAGTGGGAGTCACAAATTCTTGCCCTCTCTATGTTACAAGGGTGTTGTGAGGAAAGCTCTTTGTAACTCTTAAAATGCTCTCTCATGTGAATGATTATTTCCCAGGCTGCTCTCTGGGCTCACCTGCCCCCCCCCCCCCCCCCCCCCCCCGCTTTTGTGGTCAGTCATTTCTTCCCACTCACCCCCACCTCCACTCTGCCTGTTGAAATCCTACTCTTTAAAGGCCCAGCGCAACTGCTAACTCGGGCTCATAGCCCTAAGATCATTCAGTCTAACCCCTGTGTTTTACAGGTGAGGAAACTGAGGCACAGAGAGACTTAGACATTTGGTAGTGAACAGGAGACCCTGACTTCAAGTCCAGATGCTCTGAGTCTGAATTGAATACTTTTCCACAGACTTTTCCTAATTACCCTCATCCCAAGGTTAAAAGGTCAGATGGATTTCTGGTGGGCTTTGTGGAACAGAAATTCTTTCTTGTTCATCCCTTATTTCTCCTGCCGCATAAATAGCTGGTTGTGATTTTGAAAACAGCAAATTTGTTCACTTATTTCATTCCTGTAGTATAGACACTTAAGAGATAGAATCAAGGGATTCCTACTTCCCTAGGCCTGCCCAGATCCCCATCTGAATAGCATCTCATAGCAAAACTGCCAATAGCATGGATTTGTCTGTTTCAGATCTCGACAAAGGATCCTTTAAACCCAATTAAGCAAGACGTCAAAAAGGGAAAACTCCGCTATATTGCCAACGTCTTCCCTCACAAAGGTTATATCTGGAACTACGGGGCCATCCCTCAGGTACGTTGTCTGCAGTGAATGAAGAGGCTGTTAGTAGATGCTTACTGTGTGCGAGGGATTGTGTTCAGTGCTGGGGAATGCAATAGAAAAGCCCGTCAGCAAGCATTTATTTTGTACATACTTTGTGCCCGGCACTGTCCTAAGCCCTGGGGATACAAAGAAAAAGAAAGGACAGCCCCTGCCCTCAAGGGGCACCCATGGAAGAGGTCCTTAGGAGGCACTGATAAAAATCCGGTCGGTTTCTGATGCTGACCCTTACGGCCTGGTCTGGGCCAGGACCCGTCCATCACCGAAGACAGGGCTGAGCACTTGGGTGTCGGGAACAAGTCACTGAGTGTTTAACTCAAACTTATAACAATACCCCCTAAAAAGAGCACATGCAGAATTTAATCTGTTTGTCAGAGTAGAGTTTAAACATCATGCTGAGGGGAGTACATGATCCTGACGACCGAAGTTATAGTGAGTAAACCGGAAGGTGGGAATCCTGGTAGCCCAGTGTTTACACACTGATCACAAGGTAGCTGACTTTGATCTAGTCGTCCTGGACGGTTTGTGTTTATGGGCAATGATTCTGAGCTTAGGAAGGGCTCCTCACCAGGGCCCTAGAGTGGGTGGAACATGCTGCTGAGGAATGATGGGAGGTGCCATCTTCGCTCAGTAGATTGGCTTCTTGCAAGGGAGGGTCCTTAATATGTGTTTTCTGTGTTGTAGAGTGATGGCGACACTTGAGTGTTTGGGTCAGATCTTGGGGGTGGGGAGGATTCTTTTCAGAGCTGGGGGTCTGTGGGCGTGGAATACTGCACATAATGTAAAACTTGTTCGCTGTCTAGAATTGACCTGATTTGCTGAACTGGTTTCCCCCTTTCTTTATTTGTTATAGGGATGTCACTCTGGGGAAGGAGGAGGGGATGGAACATTGGGAAATGTAGTGAATATGATGATCTGTAGGTTTGCATTTTTTCAGTAAAATCTGGAGTTAGTTTAAAAAAAGAACAGGGCTCATCACGAGTTGGAATAACACCTTTTAATTCATGCTTGATGAAGTTCGTGCTGGAGCTTTTGTTTATGGAAGAATTCTGAGTCATTATTCAGATGAGAAAAAGGAGTGACGGAGGTGTTTTCATTTCTTCCACGTGAAACTTGATCCTGAGCTAGCCGAGGCTTGGATTGGGCCCGGCTGTCCAGAGGCTGTGCTTCCCTCCCCCAAGGCCTTCATGCTCTGCCTCAGATTGGACTGAGCTCTGGGAGGGTGGCAGGTGACAGTCTGGCTCTTCCCTTCCTTGCAAACTCTGTTAAGCCAAGCTTGCATGCTTTCATTTTTGCTTTAGGCTGTGACATTCCTGGCTCAAGTGTTGGCCTTGGGGTCAGGGAGACCCAGGGAAGTTACGGAAGGTGATCTGTCTGCACTGATGGAGAGAGGTCGTGGACCAGAGCTCCCCACACTCCCAAGCAGAAGGTTGGCTGGAGGCTGTTTATTTTTTAACCGTAGCAGCTCACTGTTACCCTAAGGCCTCTTCAGCTTGCTGTGTGTGGGGAGAGGGAGTGCTCATAGCAACAGGATGGGCACTTGACGTATGCCAAGAGAATTCACTTGTAAGAAAAATGCCTGGTCCCTAGTGGTCCTTGGCCCTCTCCAGAACTGATGGGGAAACCCTTGAAAGGCCTGTCTACAGAGCTCCTTCAGCATGGCAGGAGAGCCACCCCTCCTGCCTTGACCAAGGTCTGCAGTGGATGCTGGCTCCGTGCAGTTTGGAGCTCTGCGGACCTGGGGTTTTACTAGGCCTGAGGGCCTTGAGCAGGACGTCTGAGGAGCTGGGATTCTGATAAAAACAAATGTCTCTCCAGTTACTTGAAGGGCCATTCTATCTCTTCCCCCCTCCCCCAAAGTCCTGGCTAAGTGGCCTCACCTTCTTCAGTCAGGGCTCCTTTGGCATGGGCTCCAGTCCCCTCGTCACCTGGGCATCCTCGTGGGGGTGCTCCAGCTTGTCATCCTTCCAAAAGCATGGTGCCCATCACTGAACACAAACATATCCGCGGGCTCTGTCCAGGAGAAGGGGCAGTGGGGTTATTGCCTCCCTACTTCTGGGCAACAGGTCTCTCTTGACACACGCACCGCCTCCCCAACCACCCTCCCCCCATTTCTGATCTTTTTCACCCCGCTGTAATCTGACTGAATAAGTCAACATTTATTAAGTGTCTACTGTGTGCCAGGCACTGTGCTAAATGCTGGAGATACAAAAAGGCAAAAGACAGTCCCTGCCCTCGAGGAGCTCACGGCATGCCAACAATATATGCAAACTCCATCCTGTCCGTGCCGAGCTGGCTTTTGTAACTCAAGCAGGCCGTGAGAGGTATTCCCTGCTAAACCTCACGTAATTGACAGGTGAGGAATACCCGTAGGCCGTTAGATGCAATGCTAAACACTCAGGGCCATTTCAATGAGAGCTTCTGCGTGTGATGCTCGTACGATATCTGTTCTGTCTTCTGTGTGCTGACTGTAGTAGATTAATGAGTTTTATTAGCCAGTTTTTAAACATCCACCCAGTCTGCGACCCTCTGTACAGCTTGATTGTATCTGTCCCCCTCCACAGCCCTCCATCTCTCACCTCAGTGCCTTTGCATGCCAGGGGTGCACTCCCTCTCTACCCCCACCTCCGAGAGTCCCTAACTCCCTTCGAAGCTTGGCCCGAGCACTTTTCTTGGTCCTCCCAGCTGCTCGTACCTCCTCCCTCTAATCTCCTGCCCCCTACAACACTACCTCTGTCTATTTTGTGTGGATTCACATGAGTACGTGTTTCCCCCAGTCTAATTTAAGTGCTCCGAAGACAGGGACTTTTGTCTTGTATCCACAGCACCTCGAACAGCTCCTGGTACAAAGTAGGCACCTCGTGAATGCTTCCTGATCTCTAACTAGACATAATAAATCTGTGTGGAAACTGAGGCAAATCCCAACCATCTCCAGCTTACCTAAGTCTTGTCTGAGGCTCAGAGAGATTCAGTGTCTTCCCCGTCAGCAGCTCGAAGCTGGACTCCTTGGCTCATCCTTTGGAGGGGAGGGGGCCAGCACCCAGGTGGCGAGGAGGTGCCCTTGTGCCTTTCCGTCCCCTCATCTCTTCTTCTTGTCCTCAGACCTGGGAAGATCCGGGACATAAAGACCAGCACACTGGCTGTTGTGGAGACAACGACCCAATTGATGTCTGCGAGATTGGGAGCAAGGTAACTGCGCGGGCGAATCGTCCTTTATGTGGAAGGGCCAACCCACTCTCTTTCCCATTGGTGTTCTGTGGCTCTCAAGGTCTGGCTTCAGTTGGCCTATTTCATAGAGCTAGAGTGCGGTGGAGTGGAGAGTTCATTGGGCCCGCTGCCCCCCTCACCACCCCCTATTTTACAGATGTGAAAGCCAGGACTCAAAGAGGACATGGGCAGCTGGCTTTGTTGTAGTGGAAGGACACTAGATTTAGACTCAGAGAGCCATTTAACAGCTGTGCCTCAGCTTACTTATCTGTAAAATGGAATGACAAATACCTCACAGCATTCTTGTGAGGATCCTCTGAGGTGTTTAATGTAAAATGCTCAATAAATCATTATGTAAATCTCAGCTGTTTTTCCCCCCTAGCTCGGTAGTGTTAAAGTTGAGATGAGAACCCTCGGCCCCTGGCTTGGGACCCAGTGCAGGGCTCTCTCTGCTGCCTGTCGCGTGTATAATAGTAGAGAATGCTCCCTGTTCTGGGCTGCTCCGGAGGGCAGAACCAGGACCAGTGTGGGCAGGCTCTGGATGCGGCGATTTGGGCTGATCTTAACGAACTTCTCTCTGGATGTGAAGGTTGGACAAGGTCCCTCCAGAGAAAGCCCCTTCTGATTCTCCGATGGTTGTGATTTGGGACTTTGGACCAATCACACGCTCTAGGAAATATTAGCCAGATAGGAACAGTCCGTAGGATTCTAGATGGAAGGCTGGAAGGGACCTGAGATGGCGCCTTGTCCAGCCGCCTCCTCTTACCTGAAGCCCGGAGGGACCAAGTGACTTCAGGCTCACATAGGCAGTAAGCATCTGAGTTGGGATTGGAGCCCACAACCCCTGACTCGAATCCATTGTCTTTCTGCTCCCTCAGTGGGCTATCTCTCAGTTTCTTCAGGTCACAGGCTCTAGCCAAACTTGGATGCTTATTTAAAATACCATCTGAAATGGCTCTTTGGGGTTTCTCTCTATTGGAGAGCACATTATTTCATGGCATGGTAAGAGTGTGAAGCCTCTGTTCCTTTGCCCAGAATGGAATGTAGCTTCAGAGCCTGGAAGGACATTGGAAATCATCTTGTTTGGCCCCTTATTTTATAGAGGAGGAAAGTGAGGCTCAGACTAGCTGAGTGGCCTGCCCAGGGTCCCACAGCCTGTGCTTCCATATCCACATTCTTCCTGGGGGGCCGCCATGATGCTTTTTGGGCTTTGTACAGGCCTTGCTGGTGATGCCTCTAAACCTGAGAGGTCCCGTGGGCCAATAAAGGCCAAACCTAGAGAGTTCATGGATTGTTTGTGTTGGGAAGGACCTTACAAGCCCCGGGACCCAGAGAGGGTGGGGTAGCTCAGCTGGCCTGGGCCTGGGTTGAGCCCTGGGGGCTCCTCTGGTTCTTTTCAGCTAGTTAAACCCCACCAGCATTTGGGAAGGCCTTGGGGCAGGGGCTGTGCTAGAAGCTAGGGCTGGGGTCCTGCCCCTCTTGGAGCCCCGTCATTCTCTGCCGCCAAGGAAAGCCCTCCCATTCTCAGCGTTGGCGCAGTCACGATTCAGGTTTTTACCCCTAGATATGTCTGAGAGGAGAAGTGATCAAAGTGAAGGTTCTGGGCATATTAGCGATGATTGATGAAGGTGAAACAGACTGGAAGGTCATTGCAATCAACGTGGATGATCCTGATGCTGCTAGCTATAATGGTAAGTTGTGCTTAGTGGGAAACTGAAGCGGTCCTGTCTGGCCTGCAAGGCCTGTCTGGGGAATGCCCGGTGCTTAAATCATTGCACCCCGCAGATCCTCCGGACCGCAAGGTAGCATCTGTCCCGTCTGGGGGGTGCCCAGTGCTTAAATCACTGCACCCCGCAGATCCTCCGGACCCCAAGGTAGCATCTGTCCCGTCTGGGGGATGCCCGGTGCTTAAATCACTGCACCCCACAGATCCTCCGGACCCCAAGGTAGCATCTGTCCTGTCTGGGGGATGCCTGGTGCTTAAATCACTGCACCCCACACATTCTCCAGAACCCAAGGTAGCGCCTGTCCCATCTAGGGAATGCCTGGTGCTTAAATCATTGTACCCCGCAGATCCTCTGGGCCTCCCCTCCCTTCTCATTCCTCACAAGGAGGAGGTTAGAGGTCGTTCTTGTGCTTTCATTATTGGACTGTGAGAAGAGCAGGAAAACCTCCTGTCCACATCAGCCATGTTCCACAGTTTAGTCTGGGTGGAATAAATGTGCCAAATGTACACGCCCTTCCTGTTTAAAAAGTAGGCCTGGAGCCTCTAAATAGAATCATACCATTTAGCGCAGCTAGAAGAGGCCTTACCTTAAATGTTCTCCTATCCAGCCCCCTCATTTTGCACATGAGGAAACCGAGGCCCAGAGAGGTCAACTTTCCAAGGTCACGTAGCCAGTAAGTAGCCAGGCCAGGGTTTAAACTGACATTGCCTGTCTAGAGGGATCTTAGAGACCCGGTCCTACTCCTCATTTTGTAAAGGAGGACACCAAAGCTGAGGGAGAAATGACTTGCCTAAGGTCACATGGTTGGCGGTTGAGTTTTGGTTAAGATCCCCAGGTGTTTTGCCTCGGCCAGGATCTCATCCCACTAAACTCTGACATTTGGTTGGTCTGTGGGCCCATGTGAAGGTTACTGGTAATGCTCACGTGTCCATGGTTAGCTGAAAGAGTAAGACCCTGTAATAACATCAGTTCTCCTGTAGCTACCTCACGTCAGTCTGTTCTCATGTGATTCCGTATTGGCTCATGTGAGCGTCCTTCTGGAACTGGCCAGGTTTGGGGGTGGGAAGGAAACAGGCATGGGATACTGCTGAGAGGGCCTGGCAAGACACGTCGCTCTGGGTCAGTGGGATTGGATGTTTGTTTGTCCAGCCAGGACATTTCCACATCCTGCCTGTCTCCGTAACCCGTTCTCTTGCCTCCCACCCTTCCCCACCCATCGTGGGACACTCTTTTTATTTTTATTTTTTTTAATTTAATTTTTTATTTTAGCAAGAAAATAAATGTGAACCTTTACTGAACCACAAAATTAAATAAATACGCAGATTTCTGTGAGCCACTGGTTTCATGTCCTTGATTGGAACAAAATGAAATGTTTTTTTTAAAGGCTAGCCTTTAATATTAGTCTATAGTAAGGCTGTTGTTAGCAAGTTTTTCTCTCACATTAGCTTTGATAATTATATGTAAGCCTTTGACAATCTGGCTCTAGCCTCCCATTCTAGGCTTTTTACACATGCTGATTGTTCTTGAAGGGACACTCTCTTTAAACAGCCCCTATTTTATTGGTACATTTTTGCCATGAAGCTGGTTGTTCAGCAGAGAACAGATTCCATTTTGCCTCCTAGAGTAGTTGAGATTTACATCACAGTGGGAGCTAAGCTGATGTCCAGGGAATGGCCATGTCAGTCTTCCAGCAGAAATTCAGATCCATCGCTGCCCCAGAGGCTCGGTTCTTGGCTTGCTCCGATGATAATGTTGTCGTGGCTTTGGAGCTGGAGGCTCAGACGCTGTCCCATGCAGTCCCTTTGTTTTAAAGGTCAAGTAACTTGGCCCAAGGTATGTAGGAAGCATCAGGGCAGAATTGGAACTAGGGCTTCTAACAGCAGAGCTAGCCTTCTTTCCATCATACCTTTTCTCCGTACCCCTCAGTTGGTTTAAATTCATAGTGGCTAACTTTTTTTTGCATTGGCCAACTGGAACATTATCAAATCATAGAATAATAAAGTGTTTAGAAATCATGTAACTCACCATCCACCTGTTTTACTGAAGAGAACAGAAGCCTGGAGTGGTGATGGGCTTTACTTAAGGTCATACCCTACCCCACCACATCTGCCCAGAGCCCATCCCATTAAAGGAGACCCATGATCAAGGGAGACGGGAGCTGGCCCCGCCAGGGCTGCCTTGTTGGTTGGTTCTGCCCTAAATTGCTTTCTTTGTTACATGGAAGGTTTCCTGAAAGAGTAACTGCTATAAAAAAGCAGAGAACATGAATCAATTTTTTTTTTTTTTTGAATCAAAGGCCAGTGACCTGATAACGTCTTCAGGGCCTAGCACATACTTTGCATGTAGAAGGCCCTTAATAAAAATGTTAGTTGGATTTCCAGCTTTTCAGTGAAATGTAACATATTCTGATAACTGGCCAAATATAAAGTAGGCCAGAGGGCGGTGAAGACCAGGAGTCAGCTCTGCCACTGGAACAGGCTAGTTTCACATCCAGGCGCTCTGTCGATAGGTGTGTCTCTGCATAGCACACGTCCATACGGACTTGGAAGTGAAAGCTCTGGGGCCTCCCACCTGCCCTTTGCCAGGCTGGGTCTAGTGGTCCAGGGGACAAAATCTGGACCCAGGTGAACCTTCCCCTGACTCAGTGTTTTCCAGGTGACCTTGAGGAGGTCATCCAGACCTCTCAACCTCAGTTTCCCTTCCCTGAGCATTGCCACTCAGGGCAAGTCTCCTCTCTTCGCCTCACAGCGCAAATCTCACGATGCTTTGCTCATGCTAAAAATTGGACTTTTGTGTAAGGGACATTTATGCATCCTGCAGTCAATCTATTTTTAAAATTGTATTTATTTATTCATTTTTAGATATTAGTGATGTCAGAAAGCTGAAACCTGGTTATCTAGAAGCAACTGTGGAATGGTTTAGAAAGTACAAGGTGCCTGATGGGAAACCAGAAAACGAGTTTGCTTTCAATGCAGAATTTAAAGATAAGGTGAGCTGCCTCTTTCATAGCTCTGATCCTGTTTCCGATGCTGTGGTCAAAGAACAAATACTAACACCACACTCTTTGTTTTCGGCACAAGTCTGCTGGAAACCATTTCTGTTATTTTAATGTTATTCTAAATCCAAGCATTTCTAGTTTAGAAAGATAATGTCCAAACTGGCACAATCAGTCAAGTGTCCTTAGACCTCTTTCTACCCCAGGACAACTCGAGGTTACATTTATGGGAATATTGAACAAGGAAAAAGTCCTAACGTTTCAAATACAGAGTAATTGTGGCTTAATCTCCATTGAGAACTACCCACTTCCTTCCCTGGCTGCCCTTGGCAAAGCCTGAAACGATCCTTTCCCTGGGCAGCCAAATCAGTCTTTGTTGAACCTCAGAGGGCCCTCCTTTCCCTTAGCGGGGTCACAGGCCAATGGCATCAGAGCCTGGGGATGGCAGCGATTAATTGGGGGAGGAGGCAGTGTGGATTTTTGTTCTGCCTTGGTGCCCACCCTTAATCCATCTGCCTCAGGTGTCAACCACCTTCCTAAGGGAACGAGTCTGGAAAGGCTTTTTGGACTTGAGAAATATCTCCTTATTATTACAGCTGGCATTTATACTGTGCTTTATAATTATTATCCCTTTTAATTCTGGGAGGTAGATGCTATTATTATCCCCATTTTACAGTGGAAGAAACCGAGGCAGAGAGAGGTTAAGTGACTTGCCCAGGGTCACACAGCTAGTGAGTGTGTGAGGCTGGATCTGACGCAGGTCTTCCTGACTCCAGGCCTGGCCTTCTGTCCACTGTGCCCACCTCAGCTTAATCATGTGCTTCCTCCCAAATGTCTCCAGAGCTTCATGTCACCTGTAGGGAGAACTCTGTATGTAACAAATCCAAATGTCAATAAACAGAATCTGTCTTTGCTCCCAGCATGCTTTGATGTGCTTTAGAGGACCGGCTGCCGCTGCCAGACCAAGGTGTAGGTGGAAGGGAGTGCCCAGGTCCTGCGGATAGGAAAGCGTCTCAGCCAGGCGAGGTGGCGGATCGAAAAAGGAAACTCGTTACCGTGCCTGTAATCCATCACCTGTTTCTTGAAATTGTAGGAGTTTGCCACTGACATCATTAAAAGCACCCATGATCACTGGAAGGCGCTGGTGGCGAAGAAGACAGACGGAGGAGGAATCAATTGGTAGGTTTGAACCCTTCCAGGAGGTCAGTGTGCTGTCCTTGTCGGCTATGCTGGGGCTGGGGCTGGAGACAAGGACGGCGCCTGTGAGGGCAGGAGGGTGGGGAACTCCCTTTACTGATGCAGGTTGGCGTCCTCTCCGTAACTCACAGCCAGGCTGTGTCAGACACTGAACCTGACCCCAGGCCTCCTTGGCACCCATCTACTTCTCCATCCACTCCATTCTGGTGCCTCTCTGACTTGGAGCAAAGGCTTTAAAACAGCCACAGCTACAAGGCTTTGGGAGGGTTTTAGCTGAGCGTTCGTCATGGATTCACCCGATGTTTGGGTGCCTACCACACGGGGCACTGTAGGAAACACCACAACGAGACACCTGTGATCTGGTCAGAGACGTGAGGCCCCATTGCAGGAGGTGGAGAGATGGCCTTCGTGGCTACGGAGCCATTCGGTCTAACACTAGGCCTTTGTCCAGCTCCTGCTCTCCTAGGAGATGCTGGTGGGGATACCACATGGTCTCTACCCTCATGGCACATGTCATCCACTGGGGGTACCTCAGTGTATCCAGGGCTTTCATACCAAATAGGCTTCACCATATCCTCAGGAGAAGTACAGACAAGAGTTCTTTCCCCCAGGAATCATTCAGTTGACATTATTAAGCACCTGCTGTGTGCCAAGTGCTGGGGTTACAAAAAGAGGCAAAAGATAGTCGCTGCCCTCAGAGAGCTTACAGTCTGAGGGGTGACGGATCGTCACTGTCTTGTGGCATCAGCGAGGGCTTTCCTTTCCCTGTCGTGCTCTGAAGGGCTCACCGTATTGGTGATGGCCGTTAGCTGCAGCACGGAACTCCTGCCCTGCAGGCGTGGGGTGGTCTTCCCCTGCTGTCCTCCTCCTGGTTTCCATGGAGGGTGGAGGAGGCTGCTGCTGCCTGTGCTTGTCAGTGCAGGTATGGCCAGAGGGGAGGAGCTTCTCCAGGGCTGAGCTGATTTCAGGCTGAGCTTTGTGCCTGTCCTGCGGGCCTCCCATCGTGCATCTCGTAAGTGCTTGTGGAATTGGACTGAGCCAGACAAAAATGAGTGTAGGCTAGAAGGTCTGATTGGTGGAAACAAATCCTTGTAAGATTGGTTAATGCAAGAAATTTTTCTTAACCTGCTCCATAACAGTTGAGCCGCGCCTTTCAGTCACTGTAATGTCTGTGCCTTTTTGCTATACTGGGTGCCTTTTGCAAAGATTTGTGGCTGCCAAGACTTCTGCTCTGATTCCAGATTTTTTTTTTTACATACAGCATGAACACGACCGTGGAGGATAGTCCCTTCAGGTGCAGCGTGGAATCTGCCAAAGCCGTTGTAGATACCGTAAGTGAAAATGTCACACATGGGGCTGAACCAGCAGAGAAAGAGCTCCATTTTCCTAGTCAGTGTCACCTCAACCTGTGGACACATTCCAAGGCCCTGCACCCAGGGGCTTCCAAGTGCTTGGGGAGATCACAAGTTGAACAAATTGGTGGGCTAGTGGATTTTGTCAAGTAGCTGCCATCCTCGGAATTACTCACCGTTTCCCAGAGGGTTATTAATTGTGCAGTAATCAACCTTCGAGTGTGCCAAGATGCTTAGAAAGGAGTTGAGTTAGTCTGGACCAGGAGGGCCATAGGCAGCTGGCCACATGCCTGTACTCGGCCCAAACAAGGTTAAAGTGTAATTAGGAGATCCTTGGCAAAAGATGTAAGAATGCAATAAAATGTAGGTTCCATTACATTTTTAAAACAGTCTGCATGCAGCTTGGAGGGGTGCTGCTGTCTGGAGTGGGGGCCCCTGCATCCATCTGAATTGAGCACCCCTACTCTAGGCAGCAGCAGTTAGAGAAGAGAAAGTGGAAGGGAGTGCCAGGTAAATGGGTGCTTCTCAGTCAGTATACTTCTTTCCTAAGGTGAGAGGAAAAGGGAAGCCTCCTTAAATAGCCATAAATTGATTTTTTTAAATATATATTTTCCCCAATTACATGTTAAAACAATTTTTTAATATTTTTTGTTTTTTTTTTAAGTTTTGAGTTCCAAATTCCTCCCCCCCAGATGGTAAGCAATCAGATATAGGTTATATATGTGCTGTCATATAAAACATTTCCGTATTAGTCATTACGTCCAAGAAGACTAGAGTAAAAGAAAAAGAATGAAAGAAAGAAAGTGAAAAATGGCACGCTTCAGCCTGTATTCAGACAGTGTCAGTTCTTTCTCTGGAGGCAGGTAGTCTGCTTCATCATTGGTCTTTTAGGATTGTCTTAGATCACTGTATTTCTGAGAATAGCTAAGTCATTCTTGGTTCTTCGTCGTACAGTGCTGTGTACAACGTTCTGCTGGTTCTGCTCACTTCACTCAGCATCAGTCCATACAAGTCTTTCCAGGTTTTTCTGAAGTCTGCCTGCTCATCGTTTCTTATAGCACAATAGTATTCCATCACATTCATATACCACAACTTGTTCAGCCATTCCCCAGTCAATGGGCATCCTCTCAATTTCCAATTCTTTGCCACCCCAAAAAGAGCTGCTATAAATATTTTTGTACATGTGGGTCCTTTCCCCCTTTTTTGTTAATCTCCTTGGGATATAGACCTACTAGTGATATTGCTGGATCAAAGGGTATGCACAGTTTTGTAGCCCTTTAGGCATGGTTCCAAATTGCTCTCCAGAATGGTTGGATCAGTTCACAGCTCCATCAACAGTGCATTAGTGTCCCAGTTTTCCCACAACCCCTCCAACATACAACATTTTCCTTTTTTGTCTTATTAGGCAATCTGAGACATATGAGGTGGTACCTCAGAGTTGTTTATTTTGCATTTCTCTGATCAATAGTGATTTAGAACTTTTTTCTAAACAGTTTTTTCATACAACTACAGATAGCTTTGATTACTTTGCCTGAAAACTGCCTGTTCATATCCTTTGACCAATTATCAGTTGGGGAATGACTTGTACTTTTATAAATTTGAGTCAGTTCTCTCTGTATTTGAGAAGTGAAGTGGCCATAGGTTTATAGATTGTTTCATCTAAAGAACTCGGTCCTGGTGATCGTCGTTCTAGGACGGGCACGTCTGCCCATGGATGTCTTGTTGGGTTTATCTTATTTTCGTAATTATCTGCTTTGAAGAGTGCCCAAGGGCCCCTGAGAGCCAAAGGAATACTCGGAATGGCCTGAGTCCCCACCAGCCTCAAGTCTCAGTAGAGGAAGCCAAAGAAAAGGGCCTGGCCTCAGTTGCCTGAGGAATCGAGCACCAAAGGACATGTTGCGGGGAGCCAGCCTGACTCCCTGTCGTGGAGCTTTTGGAAGTGCCCCAAGCCAAGCAGCACTCAGAGTTGAGGGATCGTGGCTCTGCAGCTAGAAGGGGCCCGGGGCCAACTAGTCCACCCCACCCCCATTTTACAGGTGGACAGACTGAGGCTCAGGGAAGGAAAGTGACTTGTTCAAGGTCACACAAGGAATAAGCATTAGAGGTAGGATTTGAACCCAGAGCCAGGGGGCATCCTACTGACCAGTAACCTCCTGTGAGAACTTGTCTCACAGCAGCCCATCAAGTCTGTCTCTTAAGGGACAGAGTGGCAGTGACCTGTGTCAGTCCAGTGAAATCCTGGGGTGCCGTGTGAGTGGTTGAGTGAGCCCTGGGTTCTGAACCTAGTGCCAGGACTGGCTCACCTCTCTGTGCCTCATCCTGATTCTCAGAAACGTGCCCCTGCCTCAGGTGGTCTTAGCGACCGCACCTTGCGACTGATCGTTTGGGTGCCCGATGAGAGCGTGGTGTGGGGGTGATTAGCCCTTCAGGTGGTGTCCAGCGTGGCTGAGCAGCTGCTTCTCTCTCCCCTGTCGTCTCAGGACGAGGCTTCTTCACCCGGGGTCTGAGAACTTGTTTGTGAAGAATGTTCCGATGATGCTATTTCAATAGAATAAGTTCCTTGGCAGTCTCTCCTATTTCATTTTATACAGTTAAAAACCTGATTCTAAGAAGGGGGTCAGGAAACATCCAAAGTTAGTACGCCTGGTTCAGGGTCGTCTGGAGTGCCCGGAAGGGTCCTTTGGCTAGTAGGGGTAGGGGCCCCGGCCTTGTCTTCACTCTCAGGACTCCCTCCACCGCAGCCCGCCGCCTCATACTCCCAGGGACTCTGCTGATTTGCCGGCCTGGGTCTGTGATGTGGGGTGGGGCAGGGGTGAGCCAAGCTTCACACGAGCTGGGCCTCAGTGTGACAGGCTAGGGGTCTGCCATCTCGGGCCCAGCCTCGCTCACTTGGGGGCAGAGCCTCATCAGCAGACGGGCGGCCCCCAGTGACGGAGCCGTTTGGCTCCCGAGGGGGAGAGAGTCGGGGGTCCAGGCTGGCATCGGTCAGTGAAGGGGGCCCCCCACGGATCAGACCACAGGTCCTCGAAAACGAGCAATTCTACAGCATGGAAATTGAGGGAGTGGGCCTGTGCTGGGGCCTCCCGGAGGCCCAGCTATGTGGTGCTGTTATGGTAGGGTCATAGATCTAGGTCTGGAAGACCCCCAAACTATAGACACGGTCTATACCCGGTAAGTGTGTGAGAGGGAAGGCAGAAGGCAGGAAGGCAGGCCAGCCTTCTCCTTTACAGGTGAGACAGGTGAGGCAGCTAAGGCTCAGAGAGGTCTCCTAGTACGTATTGGGGTCAGAATTTGAACCCGGGGCCTCTGACTCCAGGGCCATCACCCTTGTCTGTCTTTCTTTTTCATTTGTGTAATCACGCCTTTCCTTTTTCTTTTCGTAGCTGCCGCCACCTTGTGAATCTACCTGTGTCATCCCCACAGACGGTAAGGTCTGCTTTGTTGCCTGATGATGTGAGCGCAGGCTCTGCCAGAGATGTTCCCCTGTTCCCTAGTTCGCCCTTAGTGATGGCAGCATGAGGAGCCCAGAGAGGGGGGCGCCGCCAGGCCCCTGCTTGCCTTTCCTGTGCCCCTCGGGCCATTCAGAAGTTGTCCCTTCCCCCATTGGGGCACCTGGCTTATTTCTGCTGCAGGGAAATCTTCCTTGTCAAGAAGGGGCTCCCTCATGATGCCCCGTAGGAGGGCTGCAGGTAAAAACAGCCAAGCTTCTGTGACCTGAGCCATCATCCCTCAATCCCCGGGGCTGGTGAAGGCAGGAAGCTCAGCGGTGGGGGTGGGGGTGGGGCAGCCCCTCTGCTAACTGTGGGGCTCGAAGCTGGTCTGAGGTTTCACCAGCAGAGCTGGGAGTCGGGCAGCCACTGTCGGCTTAGTCTTGTAACTAATTACCCCAAAAGCAGCCACTTCAAAAGAAAAATAACTTCCCTTTCCTACTCCTGCAAGAATATGTATTCATCACAAACAGGCAACTCTAGAAAACTGTCAGTAAATTAGACACCCTGTCTGAGGCTGCCCAGGCAAACCCTTTTCTGTCGGGTGACCACTCAGAGCAGGGCTGTCCCTGGCCACTAAGGTCGGCCCCTTCAGTTCTTGAAAGTCCGTTGTACCAAGCTCAGCGTGAAGCACCTACTCTGTGTCCATGCTGTACGCTGGGAACGCGAGAATGAAACAGTCCCTGCCCTCAAGGAGCTTGCACTCTCCAGGCTTGGAGGGCCTGCCCAGTGACGACCCCACCACCATGCATGTGTCTGTTCAGAGGAGACCATCCCTGCTAGATTTGGGGGGCTTGCCTTCCGTGGCAGCCCTGGGGCTCTGGTTGGTTTTGGCCCAGCAGCTCATTAAACTGTTCTAAGTCAGCGTCCTCATTGAGGGCCAGTGAACACCTGGGTAGTGAAAGTGTTTCCCCACCATGTTTTTGAGCAGAGATTCTAATATTTTTTTTCTTTCTCTCAATTCAGTGGACAAGTGGTTTTATTACCAGAGCAGCTGATTTCCTTCAGGAAGACCAGTCAGCATTGCTGCGTTCCCTTGATCAGGAAACCCTAGATTCCAGAGTCATAGCTTTGTAATGGAGAGCTTTGAGGAGGCGGCTGTATTGAAGCCAAATTCCACGTCACTAGTTATATCCATGTCACCTATCCGGAATGTTCCGTCCTCCTTGTCCCCTGCCTGCCTAACAACCAAATGCATCCCCAGGGCTGGGCCATTTGTGGAGAACTAGCATGCTTTGGGTGTTTGTGTTTGCCCTATGGTAGGAAATAAAATTATTTTGCTGAAGCTCCAATGGAGAGAATGGATGTTTTTTAACCCCAAATACCTGAAATAAAACATTTGCCAGGCAAGCACAGGTGTTCCTGTTTGACAAGATTTCCTGGTTTTGTTTTCTGTAATGTTCATCTTAAAGTTCACCTTGTAATTAAAAATGGAAAGCTGTGTGGCAGTCGGGTAAGCCTTGATGAGATTGACCCAGAGGAGGCGTGGGTGACATGAGAAATGTGGGCGGCTAGTCACGTCACACACGTTAGGGTTAAAACCCAACATATTAACGGCCTCCTTAGCCTGGAGTCCGACTTCAGGGTTAGGGTTAGTCTTCTGGATTGGGATTCATTAAGGCCTAGGGTTGTATCCTGCCCATTACTCAGTAGCTGTGACTTGACCACTCTGAGCCTGTTTGCTCATCTGTAAAATGGGGCTGAGGATGAGAGTAGCACCTATGGGGTTGTAAAGATCAAAGGAGACAATTCATGTCAAGCTTGGCCAGCCTTCAAGGAGGATGAAAAACTCAGCACTCTGGAATAAGAGGGAACTCGGAAATATCTCTTAAGGCCTGTGCCTGGAATGAAATCAGCTAGGGCAGAGCCTGCCGACCCTTAGCTCCATCCCCTTAGAATTTCTGTGTAAAGTAAACAAGCTTAGTTACCCAGGACCTTGGTTCTAGGTTAAGGCAGACAGAAGCTTAGGTTATGGAAGTAAACAATAGACCGCCCACCAAATAAGGAAGAACTCCAAGGGAGGGCCTCAGCGTTTTGGGTGGGTCTTCCACAACACATAGCCTTTGAACCAGACTAAAAAGTAACTGGGAAATGCTGAACCCTGAAATACAGTAGGACTTAGATAATGTGAATGTAAGGTTTGCAAAGTCAACATGTGGACCGGTCTAGCAGGCTCTCTGTGTATTTGAGTTTTGACATTCCTGCTGCAGAGGATTGAAAGAAAAGCCCAGATAAGAACCTTGAAGGTTGAATGAAGTATGGAGGGAGGCGTGATGAAGGGCCTTGGTCTGGTCAACTGAGGACTCCGGTCCCCCGGAGATCATTCAAAGCCTCCAAGCGATGGGGAGGAGTGTGAGCTGCCCTCACAGTCCTTAGCAAGCTGGCAATGTGGTCTATTGCCCTGACAGGATCCCCTGCCATCCCAAAGCTGAGCAAAAGTGGTCTATGCCAGATAGAACTGAATTGTTAAGTCAAATCGCTTTTATTTCAAATATTTTCCCCATCACAAACACCTTGGTCATGACTGCTGCCTCTCACATTTCTGCGCTGCTTTCCTTATAAAGTTTTCCTCACAAAAACCACATGAGGTAATGAATGCAAGTATTTGTTGTCTCTTTTACATGTGGGGAAACTGAGGCAGCATGGAGTAATGGACAGAATACTGAGCTTGAGGTCAGGAGGACCTGGGTCCAAAACCTGCCAGCAAATCACTTGAGCTTTCCTCAGTTTCTTCATCTGTAAAGTAAGGATAATGGGGCTTAAAACACTTACAGCTCAAAATCTATGATCTTAAGAAGCATAGAAATGAGGTGATGTCTCAAGTTGGATATGTAAGGACTGAGGACATGAATGCAAGTCTTCTGACTGCCAAGTCTGTTCTTTCCACGATGGCTTGATATCTTTCACATTACCAGGTAGCAAGCATTAAGCACCTACTATGTGCTAGTGACCAGGGATACAGGGACAAAAATCACACAGTTCCCTGCCTTCACTGAGCTTATATTCTTTTGGGAAGACATGTACATGCGTGTACAGATACACATATGTGTGTATACACACAAAAAGCAGGTAAATGAATGCGGCATCAGTAGCAGGGGAGGAAAAAGAAAAACATGTAAATGATGCCATTTGATTAAAGGAATCAAGATTCTATGAAGTGAGGGAGTAGCAGGCATGGGGGATAACCAGTGCAAAGGTGTGGAGATGGGACTTTTCAAATTTTTCAAAAATTCCATTTTCTCTAAGAACTCATTAAGCTATTTTAAAGGGGTTGGTTTGGACCCTGGAGTAGGGGATGAGGGGGACCGGATGGAAACAGAGGCCTCCCTTTAGTCCATTTTAATTTCGCTGAGACTTGCCTTCATCAATAAAGCTTACCCTTATTTCCTTTCCTTCATGCTCCCCCTGTCCCTTCAACTATCAATAACCATCCCAGGAACCCTTGCAGTGAGAGCAAGAGGAAGCCTGGAAATGAATGAAGAGGCCTACTCAGACAAAGCTAGCAAGAGGAAGGCTTTGTTTGCAGACTTGGGTGGTATCCTTGACTGTAGGCTTTGCGTAATGAGTTCTGTTCTGGACTTGTTGACGTTAAGATGTCTACAGGACAGGCAGTTTGAGATGTGAGACTGGAGGTTAAGAGAGAGGTAAGGGCTGGATAAACAGGTCTGAGGATCATCTTTAGAGGAATGATAATTGAATCCTTCCTAAAATGTGGTGCCCAGACTTAATAAATATTAGTACCCAATTTATGAACTGATGCCATTCTAAATGTTAATTTGTATCTCTAAGAGGACTTAGAGATCATATAGTGCCCAACTCCCTCATATTAGAGATGAGGAGGAGGGAAGTGTCTTCCTTGAGCTAATAGAGGAAGTGGCAAAGGCATAATCTGAACCCAGGTCTTTCCTCTCATATGCAGAGCTCTCCACTAAACTGGGTTAAGTGACTTGCCCAGGGTCACACAGTTAGTAAATGTCTGAGGTCAGATTTGTACTCGGGGACAATCTTCCTAGCTCTAGGCCCAGTGCCTACAGCATCACCTAGCGGCCCCTCCACTGAACTTCACTGGTGATGAGTGGTGACAGCAAGAAACCCCAAAGTTAGACCTATCTGTGCCCCTCATAGTGGACTTGGCTGGATGCTTACGCTGCTTATTTAGGGGAAGAAATCAAATTTTCCGTTTCCATCCTTGTTGAACCCAGGTTAGTCCAAGAGGCATCTGGTCTCTCTGATGATCCCACTGGCATCGTAAGGGCCTCGAGTCAGCTGTCCCAGAAACAGCTGGATTGGTACCTTTCCGGGCACCTCAAGGAGGGAGTGATGTGAATTTCTATTTGGGAAGGTATTTGGTTAGAATACATTTAGAATCTAGAATAAATAAGAACCGATTTAAAATCTACAATAAATAGATTTAAAATCTAGAATAAATAATTTGGAATAAATAAAAATGTTCCGGTAATTAATAAATAAGAAATCTGAACGATCTCCGGATTGCTCTTTGTGGTCTTTCTCAGCTGAAGCCAAACAGAGAAACCTGAAGGTAAAGGGCAGTAGTCAGGAGTCAGATGAAATGATGGGTCACCTTAGAAGAGATCTGAGAGGCCACTGAGTGTCATCTCTTCACTTTACAGATGAGGAAACTGAGGCTCACCACTTAGGTAGTAGCTGACAGAGCTGGGATTCCATGCCCCTCCCAGATCATCTGTCTTCAAAACCAGAGCTGTCTTCACTAGTATCACTGTCACTGCCTCCACCTAAGCAGAAATTGCGACTTCCTTCTTCCAAATGTGAGTGTGGGCTGAATCACAGTCTTAGTAAGAGATCAAGAATGTAAGTGACAAAGATGAAGAGAGTGGTGATAATAGAAATGAATAAAACATTTGTATTTGAATGGAAGGAAATTTTTTTTAAATCCAACTTTTCACAGTGAAAATATGTATATATATGTACATATGTATACATTATATTTACAGTGACAATTTTATGTAATTTTTTCCAGCCTATACCCACATATATTTTTTTCCTTCCAAAGGAAATCTCTCATTTCCTGGGGTGGGACCCATGGCTAGAGCAATCAGGGAGTTATGAGATCTTGCTTCCATTTTTTTTTTAATTTTCCAGGTACATGTTTTTGGCCCACATATATGCTTATAAATAATATTAGCATCATACAGATGACTAATGGGTACAACCCAGGACTATCCCTCCTACCACTCCTTGGCATTTCTAACTCGTTAAACACACCTGTATCCACAAAGCTCGGCTTGGGTTCAGAGCAATTAATTAAGGAAATGCACACGTCACTGGTCAGAAGTCTTCCGTGATCCGTATCAGACATGAGCCCCAGTAGTCCTGGATTTGTCACAGTTTAGAACTGGAAAGGGCCTTATTGAACATGTCTAATATTTTATAGAATGGGAAATTGAGGCCCAAGGCATCAGTCAGCAGCAAGAGTCTATGAGCACTCATTAAACACCTACTATGTGCTGGGCACTGTGCTGGGGGGTGGAAAATGAGATAAAGAAAGCCCTGCCCTTTAAGAGCTTACAGTCTAAGGCGAGACAAGAGGCAAACACTTATGTACAAACAAGACCTACGGGGGAAATTGGGGTCATCTCAAAGAGACCACAAGCATGAGCATGAGCAGTAAGGAGGACCAGGAAAGGCTTCCCATAGAAGGTGGGGTTTTAGCTGGGACCTGAAGGAAGCCTGGAGGTGGGGATGAGGAAAGAGGACCCTCCAGGTGTGGGAAGCAACGAGAGTCGTGCACCCGGGCCCCTTTCCCTCAGCGCCCCCTGTGAACACATTTTTCAAATCTCCTTTTTCATTTTTCTAGTGATAATAAGAAACACCATTTCTCCAGCCTGAAAGCTTCTGCAGCCCTATCTTTTGAGGAACGTGGTCGTAACAAAAGCCAAGGCCTTCCTTAAGGAGATGGATGGATGGTAATCACCAAGCAGTGGCGTGCTGAAGCCAGCTTGAACTGGGCCAGCTGCTAAATAGTCAGTGGGAGCATTTATACCTCAGAAGTCAGCAAACTAGAATTTAAAAAGTGAGGGAGAAAATGTCAATTGTGCAAATTAGACTTAGAAGTGTGTCAAGCGCACATTGTTTTTCCTGATTATTAGTCATTTGCTATCACGGCCCAGAATGGAGGGAACCCCAGAGCATGGGCTCTGGCTCCTCCTGGCACCGAGGTGCCAGGTGCCTCTTGTCTGAGGCTCTGCTGACAGCCTGGCTTATGGCACTGCCCGGCACTGTCAGAAAGAACTACAGGAGTTGTGGCTCTGGA